AAATTTATGATTGATAATATGAAAATTTTTTGTGTTGAGTTTTGGAACTCTGTTTATGCACAAAGAAAGTAATGAAAGCATTCACTTCATGCACAGATGTCTTGTAACCTTATCTGTTAGAAACTATGTTGCCCAAAGTCTTCAATTTTAGTGCCACACCTATATCAGACATGACACGACACGTGTGCATGGAATCCGTGTCCAACATTTAGGATGTATGATAGACACTTATGTTCCAAACTAGAGGATATGGTATATGATAATATGAATTCCAAAAAATGGTATATGATAATATGAAAACAGTGGGGAGAACTCTTACATTAGAAGTCATTGGAAAAAGAGCTGGGAAGGGGACTACTGCTCCTTGAATGTTTAATTTGTTAACTATAACCTACTACTTGGAAATCCCCACAGGCGGTGCTGTTCCAGCCCTTGCCCAGCTTTCTGCTTCTGCATACCACGCAGCAGTTTCATCCTCCTCAAAGACACCTTCACAGGATGATAAAATGCACAAGTCCAGAACTTCGACTTTGTAAAGATATGACCTCTTTATATGTAAATTTATGGGAGAAGCACCTAATTTTTATAAGTTTTGATACCAGATAGTACAAATTTTGTCTATTCACGCCAGTTACTAATATAGCTTTTGACTGTATAATTAGTTTCCCTTTTGTTTATTTCTTTCTGATACATTCTAAATTTTGGGTTGGATTTTATGTAAGGCCGGATGACTTTTTCCTTATAATGCATGTATGTTGATCACTAAGCCAGGCATGATCCAATGTGCAATTCACTTGGTGATTATTCTATATGAAATAAGAGATTCCTCTCTCTTTATTATTCACTCGTGCTAATATATTTTGCAGCATATCTAAGACTGAATGTATTTGTTATTGCTGAGTTCTATTTTTACATTATGATAGAAATTAGCTCCAAGCAAAAGTCTTGGTTCTACCGAGTATGTCATGGAGTTGCGTAGCTCATTTCTCTCTAAAACAATTTTTACCATGAGTTTTATAATTTCTTTTTCATGAATTTACAAACTAATATATATATATATATATATATATATATATATAATACTACACATATAACTTGTACAAACAATTAGTAAAACATTCTTTTGGGAAAAAAAAGTGAAACATAAGCAAATTATAATTTGCATAATATCAATAGATAAAATAAAAGTATAAATAAAAAAATAACATTAACTTTAAAAAGGAAAATATATATATATATAGGAAAAATTAATATCAAAGATTAACTTAATTTAAAGATATAATATAAGGAAATAATTATTGTGAGATCTTTAATGAACAACATGTATGATATTCTAAAAATTTATACATGTTATTGAAGTTATAGTTACTTTCCTATTTTTTTTACTACAAATTACTTTCCTATTTTAACGAATTTTTTTTCCCTTGCAATATAAGTAACCCGTGGCGTTTTCCTAAATATTATTCAGTTGGATTTTGAATACTAAAAGGAATCGGAAACTACTGAGAAATAGGAAAGACTCCGACCAGAAAAGGAAGAGGAGTCAATCATAACTACATATATAAACCCTAAAACCCTCCTCTTGTTTTCCGCTCAAAAACCTAACTACAATCTTCAAAACCCTCTACCTGCATTGTCGTTGTCTTCACTCGTTCGAATACTATAACAATGGAGAAACTGCTTGAAACAACATCAATGGCCGATGGTGTACTCAGGAGGCCAAAGACTAAGATAGTTTGCACGTTGGGACCTGCTTCAAGGTCGGTGGAGATGATAGAGAAGCTGCTAAAGGCTGGCATGAACGTTGCTCGATTCAACTTTTCTCATGGATCTCATGAGTATCATCAAGAAACTCTGGATAATCTCAGAACCGCCATGAACAATACTGGAATTCTCTGTGCCGTCATGTTGGACACTAAGGTTTATACACTCATTCTTTCTTTTAATTGCTTTTCATTTTTTTTTCTTTTTGTTTCTTGACTAAGTTTTATACACTCGTTCTTTCGTTTTCTTTTTTTCTTTTCGTTAAACGTCATTGATGATTTTGATGCTCTGTTCTTGTGACTTACCTGGTTTGCGTGATATGCAAGTCACGAGGTTACTTTGCTCTAACAATGTTTGTGTTCTTCTGGAAATATTCCAGGGACCAGAGATTCGAACTGGATTCTTGAAGGATGGAAAGCCTGTACAACTGGAGCAAGGCAGAGAAATTACAATCTCAACAGATTACTCTATTAAGGGAGATGAGAATACAATCTGCATGAGTTACAAAAAGTTGGCTGAAGATTTGAAGCCAGGGAATGTCATTCTGTGTTCTGATGGCACAATTACGTTTACAGTCTTGGGTTGTGACGAGGAATCCGGTTTGGTTCGTTGTCGCTGTGAAAACTCTGCACTTCTTGGTGAGAGGAAGAATGTCAATCTCCCTGGCGTCATTGTTGATCTTCCAACATTGACAGATAAGGATAAAGAGGACATCCTGCAATGGGGTATCCCCAACAAGATTGACATTATTGCACTGTCATTTGTTCGCAAAGGTTCGGATCTTCTGGAGGCCAGAAAGCTGCTTGGAGAGCACGGAAAAAATATACTTCTCATGTCAAAGGTTTGTTGCTCACACTTTTGGCTTATGATCTTTCTGTTCTGAAGAACAAGTTGGTTTTGTTTGCTATGTACTTAACTTCTTCTAATGTGCAATTTTTTCCCAGGTTGAAAATCAAGAAGGGGTGGCCAATTTTGATGAAATTCTAGAAAATTCAGATGCTTTTATGGTAGCACGCGGTGACCTGGGGATGGAGATCCCAACTGAAAAGATTTTCCTTGCTCAAAAATTGATGATCAGTAGGGCAAACATAGCCGGGAAGCCTGTGGTAACTGCAACTCAGATGTTGGAGTCGATGATCAAGTGTCCAAGGCCTACTCGAGCTGAATCCACAGACGTTGCCAATGCTGTCCTTGATGGAACTGACTGTGTGATGCTAAGTGGTGAAACTGCTGCCGGAGCCTACCCTGAACTTGCTGTCCAAACCATGGCTAGAATCTGCATGGAGGCAGAGAACTTGATAAATGACAGAGATCTTTTTGATCAATTAATGGAAACTGCACCAACACCAATGAGCCCATTAGAGAGTTTAGCCTCATCTGTTGTGAGCCAAGCAAATTGTAGTGGAGCAGCTCTGATTTTAGTGCTAACAAAAGGCAGTCACACGGCCAGGCTGGTGGCAAAGTACAGACCAAGAGTTCCAATTCTTTCTGTGATCATTCCACACATAACCACAGCTACTTTTGACTGGATATGCAGCGATGAAGCTCCAGCAAGACATTGCCTTATCTTCCGGGGCTTAGTACCAGTTTTGAGCTCTGGGTCTATAGGAACTACTCTTTATGATTCAACAGAAGAAGCCATTAAATGTGGCCTTGAACAAGCAAAGGAAAAGGGACTTTGCAAGACAGGCGACGAAGTTCTGTTGTTGTACCGTATCAACAGTGAATCTGTGATCAAGACAATATTGGTCAACTAAACCTAAAGTAAGGTGTAGTTGATGATTTTGCAGCTTGCTAGTAGTTGTTACTTCTTTTTAGGTCAACTGAGTTTAGATTAACAGATTAGAAGAAACATATTTGAGAGACGAGGAAAACACGAAGGTGTAGATCTTTAATGTTTCAAGATCATGATATATTACAAAATTTTGAATGAAAAGGCCTTCTCAAGCTTGCTTAGTTACATTTTGAAGCCTGCATTAATTTCTTTTACAGTTTAGCATGCTCAAAGAGTTCATTCTAATCTATACAGAGTAGCCTTTTTCAATCTCCTAGGTGAGGAACTTAGAACATAAAAGACATATCAGCTAGGGAAAAAACTGGAAAACGTTCAAATGGATTAAGGACTCGCAAGATCAGATAAGTTAGAAATTACAAGTAACCAAAAATCGTGATCGATTCATTAAAAACCTAATAACATTTTACAAAGCAAAAAAAATGGTACTCTAAATTTACTGTTGGTATCAACTTAGATATATACAAACCTGTTTTCAATTCTCAATCTGCTTGAGATTCACTTCCAGGCATGGGTTTGGAAGAGAGTGATGAAGTAGAGAGTAATCTGAGGAGATGAGAAGAAAACAAAGTATAGAAATTACACATAATAGAAGTCCAGTCCCTTCTTTCAGCTTCAATTACCTATTTCTTCATCTCCTCTAAAATTACGAGCATCGTTAAATCTACTCTCTTTAGTACTTACACCCTCTTGTTTCATTCTAAGAACCGTCTGAAGGTAATTGAAACCTGCAAATTGGGCAAGAATTATGAAGTTCCAGCCATAGAAGAATACAACTAGGGTGAAACTTATGTGCACATGGCATCTCCTTTGCTTCACCTCCTATCTCGAGATCCTCCAAACAAACTGAACACTGCATATTCTCCTCAATAGTTACTGTTGGCATTGCTTTAACCGCTACTTTCTGTGCTGGGAGGTTTCCATATGGGTAAAGATCATTCTCAGCCAAATGCTGTAACAACAAATCAAAACCACGTCCTGTAAGATAGTCCCTGAAAGAGTTGGCTTCATTTTGATTTGGGTTACGGTCTTGGTTCAAAGAAATTAAACCTGGAAAATCCAAGGCCTCGTCAGTAACCGAATTCTGATCACTCCTTTCCCTGTCATTATGCGAACTTTCTGATTCAGAAGGCATCCGAGAACGATCATCTTGAAGCATGTGAAGAACATTAGGGGCACTTCTTCGTATTCTCCTCCTAACTAAGGATTCGTGTCTCATCTCCATCTCTTCATTATGAGATCTGCTATAAGTGCTTTCCTGATCCATGATACGCAGATTCAGAGAGTCTAAACCACCTACTAAACCAAGTAATATAGGAGCCAAGAGAAATACAGCATTTTCACTGGTTGATTGTAAATCATTATCACTGTTACTAGCTTCTTCTGTGCTGCTTATTTCTTCCAAAAACCCATTCTCACAAAACGGACATTTCATCTCAGAGTCTCTAACCAGATTCACCATTTGAGAACACATATAGCACCAAAATTGACCCAGCATTGAATCCTCCATCTTATTTTTTTTTCTATACCACAAATCTACATCAGAACCAAATGAGATAAGAGTTAGAATCTGTTAAAAATGAAGAAAATCATGGTATTAGAGAAGAAATAAATTAAGGTGGTAAAGAGGAAAAAAATTATAGTATTAAAGAAGAAAATTAAGAACTTCAAAGAAAAAATAAATGAAGATATTAGAAAGTACGCAAATCAAATTAAATGGTAAAATTATATATTATTCATAATTAATTATTTACTTCATTTTCCTTCTTAGAAAATTTATACATACAAGGTTGTACTATTCAATGAATTACATATCATGAAAACCATTCTTAACGGAATCAATAACTAAACAGTCTCTTTATTTGAATGTGTGTCTCGTTGATTTGCGTGTTGTGAAGTACCAAAAGGTAGCAAGTTAAACCAAGATATCCCAAGGAGAAAAGCTTGGTACTTAGATTCACCAAAGAGGCAGTATAACAAACAGAATATGAGCATGTTTTAATTGTATAAAAACTTAAAGATGGAACAAAAACCAAATCCAATAGCATCTGCAAAGTAAGTTTCTACTTGATCCAATATCAATAAGTGAATGATATTTTAAAAATCTAGAAAAAGAAATCTGTAATCTTCTTGTGAAGCAAAACAAAGGGCGTTTATATGAATTAAACAGAGAGTTATCTTAGAATTGCTAAAGCTCCAAAGATGACTGACAGTGAATCAAATTAAACCCAAATGGGAAAAACGAAGTTGACAGAAAAATATAGGCACATGGATCTGTGAACTAATGATAGCAGAGCTTAAGCTAATGATTTTAACAAGAAAAACATTAGAAAACTGAAACGGGTCATGAAGATAATTCATCAAAAACTAGAAAAAGATTGAATTTATGGAGTATATAATATGAATTACCAGTAATATGATGAAGCAGAAGAAACTCTGAGCAGGAAAAGAGAAGATAAAAAGGGTAAGAAAGTTGTGTTGGAGTCTGCTGAAGAAGGATGTGGGGAGGGGGGGTGTGAAAAATTTAATTCACCATTTCATTTTCTGATTGACAATCAAGAAAAAAAGAAGAGACAAGATCAAGTCTTGTCTCGTTTGGTTTTTATTTTTTTATTTTTTTAGGTGGCTGTCTTGATTTGGTTTTCTTGTACTCATCAAAGACTGAAGAGTATTTCTCACTGTTCCTCTTAAGATTATGTCAAATGGTAATTATTAAAATATTTTCAGATGTATATTTTGTGGAATTTCATAACTTGAATACATCATTAAAACTACTAAAGCACACATTTCTTTTTTGACCAAATTTAGTTTAACTTTTCTTTCTATCAAACTCCCTTCTATCTTTATTTGATTAAAAAAAATATATAAACATATTTGATTAAATCGTCTTATAAATTTTATTTAATCAAGCTAATAATTCTTTTTATTAAATTAATTTTTAAATAAAAATTTATATATTTATAAATAGACAATACATAAATATTAATCATAACAAAATAAAAAAATAATTTTTAATAAATAATACTCAAATAAAAATACAGTTAGATTCGAATTTATAATATTTTTTTTAAAAAAACATAACAATTATTAAATTAAATAATAATTAATTATATTATCATAATAATAAATAATTTATTACTATATTTTTTTAAAATTTATTTATTTAGCTTGTAAATTAAAATTACGCAACAAAGATTATGTTCCGATTTGCATATTTGTATGGTCAAAAGAATTAAAAAAAAAATTTGGATATTAATGTTTGACTTTTTTTTTAACATGTCCAAAAAGAAAATGTGAATGTTGATGTTTGATTTTATTGTATAATTAAATTAAATTTTATTCCTATACTTAATTTCATATTTATAAATTTATATTTTTACATATTAAAAAAATAATAATAGAAACATATGTAATCTAAATTCAGTATAAAATTAGAATATTATTTTTATTCAAATATATATTTTATTGGTATCATATTAAAATTAGATTTTGTATAAAACATAACTTAAAAATATTTAAATACTTCAAATTCTCTTTGTAGTTTTAAACTCTAATAAAATACTTAATATTATTATAAAATTAAAAATTTTAATAAAAGGGCTATAATTAATACATGCAACATCTTATTTTGGAAGAACGAGGGTATTTATGGAATTTCATAATGGAGAAAACACAGAATAAATATGAGCCCTAAAACCCTAATTGCAGAAAATCACTACTTGATCTTATCTGAGCAAAGGACTGGAGGGCACTCTCCGTCTCTTTCGAACGGCGCACGAGCCACCCTCTCCCTTCCTCTAGGGTTTGCTGGAAGCTCAGCTCGCAGTTTGACGGAGAAATGAGTTTCGCTCTTCCTGTTCTCTGCGATGAAGACTGCCCGCGGTCGGAGCTCTCTTGATTTCTATTCATCCATTTGATGATGAATCTGGCTATGATGGCGTCGCGGGCTTACCACCATTCAAATTTACACCTTTTGCATTCTTTTAATTTATAGAATTTATGTTAATGTCATTTCTTATTCTTTCAAGCTTTTCGAGAGAGATCCTTGCGTGTCGAAAGCAGATATCTTTTAGTAAATTACAGTTCTGTCTCTAGATGATAGTATGAAAAATTGCTCTCTAGTTATGTAACAGATAATCTCTGATAACAAGAAGCTTAGTTTTGTTTCTTATAGAGTGCAGGATTGAATCCTCCTGGAAAGAAAATGAGTGATTCTAATGGTCATTCACCCTATCATTCTTTAGTAATTTTACACCGTGAATTTGAGAATAGAATGGTAAATATTTGGTTATGAAGCTGCAGAATCATTCTCAAAATTGCTTTTTGCGATGCTGTCTAAAACTTTGCATGGATGACACTAAGTTTGCAGGCTCTAAAAATTGTTGTAAAAGTCAAATCAGTTGCATAGTTGTTTAGATGATTACATGAGTTGTGAAGTTTTATGATTGAACTGACTTGTAATATCTGTATAGATCAGGGTATCCTTAACTGCAAGCTGTAGTTAAGAGTTCCCGTGGCTTCTGTATAACAGGTTGGATATATCATTGATGAAAGCAGCTAGTTAGGACTAGGAATTGATATTTGTAATTCAAATCTCATATCTTCATTATCTTGAATGTTGTTATGTGGAAATTAATGAGAATTTTCATTATCTTGGTCTCTTGTATGACTAATAGGACCTAGAGGTTATATGTGGTTTTGATAATTTATGGATTGGTGATGGTACCAGTTTATGGCATGGAATTGTTGGCATGTTTTGTTTGCTTCAAATCTGTTATATTCTTATTATGTTTAAGTTTTAGTTATTCTATTTTTAGTATTTAGTCAGAACTTCATTAATATATATTAAAATCAATTACCCTTAGCTTCAATTCTGTAATTTATACTTGTGTGGGAAGAATCACAAGAACACATAATTTCTACTTGAATAGTAGGTGAGATTAGCATAGAATTAAAAATATTATTTTTATTCAAAATTTTATTTGAGTTGTATTGTATTCTTATTTCCATCTAATAAAATCGGAATTTAAAGCAAATTCAATCTTTTTGTTTGCTTTCTCCTTCAAGTGATAATATCATATCTTATCTGCATTTCCATAATATATTGAAGTCTGGTCCTTGATATGAAGATGATTTTGAATAATGAAGTTGATTCTTGTGAAAGTTGAACTAGTGCAGATGTGAAATTTGAACTAGTGCAGATTATAAGAAAGCAAGACAAGCATGTTATGTTAGGAGTACAGATTTGGGAGCATTTATCAAGTTATACTAGTTGTGGAGGAAATTCATCAGAGATTGTGGATCCATTGCTGAATTCCTTACTGATTGTTGAAGAAGAAAAGCTTAACATGGGGTGAGGAGGCGACCTAGACTTTTAAGCTTTTGACAAATATTTTGTGCTGTAGATTGATGCTAATGGGAGGGGGATTGGGTGCAATGCTTATGCAATTAGGGTGCTCAATTGCGTATATCAGTATATGAAAAATGAGTGATTGCCATACTGTTTGCTAAATGGACTTACTAAACAGGTGTCTCGCTGAAAATTTCTGGTAACCGTTGCATTGAGCAGAAAATGGAGTCTCAAGTTGTAGAGGTTATTGGGAAAATCATTAATGAAATACATTGAAAGTTATCAGGCTCTCATTATTTTCTCAATTCTGTCTTCTTCCATCTCTACTTCATTTTCTACCCTTCTGTAACTCTTCTTGAAGCAGGTTCATTTTACACGAAGTTGGCACTTGTTTTTAATATCTGATTTTCGGTGTGGGCTACATGTGAGTGCTATTAGGTGACAATAGAATGCTTAGTGGGCATTTGGTGTTTAATGGTCAGCTTTGTCATTTGTTGGATGTATCAGAAAATCTATTGCTTCCAAAAGTAAATTAGTGGTGGTTTGTTCTTGGGATCTTTTAAATGAAATTTGTGCAGCTTCTTTTTTCTTTTTAAAAGCTTTTTAGCAGCATTTGCTGTAAACAATTAAGGATGGAAATCTCAAATCTGTATGTTAATCATTTAAAGAGCTAACTGGCATAGTATAGAGGAAATTGGCAATAGAAACATGGGTAACATCTTTCTTTTTTAAATCATAATAATTATATGATACAAATAGTAAAGGCAATGATCTTCGAAGCACACATCGAAGCTAAACTCGTTGGAAAAATCAGAAGCTTTCTTCTTCTTCTTCCTTCATGCTATGAAATTACAGTCTCTTGTATGCATCTTGCACTACCAGAGACTCAATACCCCCTTTATACTACAGGATTCATTGATTGAACTTAATCCAAGATCCTGAAACATAACAATACAAACAACTAAGTAAACCCAGAAAAATTACTTTGGGGATCATTTCTAAAAAGGACCCTCTAGTGGCATCATTGCTTTTTTAGCAAAGTGCCAACACAATAATAACATATAGTACTAATCAGCTTGAGTATTTAGTAAGATTTTGGTTAGTTTTGGGATGAAATTCAAATTATGAAGAGAACTAGAACTGTCTGCCAGTGAAAGTCTGGCCAAATTTCCAGGTGGAAGGAGCCACATTGTTGGAGATAACAGAGCGGCGGTCGCTGGTGGTGACCTTGAAAGACAAGGCTTGGCCATTAAGGTAAGCATTGCTCTGCCAATTTTGGCCCCAGTTGTGAGACATGGCTCGCCAACCAGTCCTAGAGCCTTTGATGGATACAGACACAACATCACCAGCTCCTCCAACATTGCTTATTAACACAAGATTGAAGTATGAGTGTCCATTTATGGTGAACCTAATCCCACCACTCTTCCTGCAACTAACTCTGCAAAGACGACCCAAAAGAAAAGAACGTTAGAACTTGAACTGGGTTGTTTTTGAGGTTTCCTTTTTCATTTATCTTCCATTATGTGTCTTACAAACCCAGTGATCAATGTATAATAGAAGATTTGTGTTTATATAAGTTGAAACTTTTATGGAAATCACTTCAACTCCATTATCATGGTATCAGGGAAGAATTTCTAGAGTTTGAATATGTTAACTACCGTCTCATGATCAGTTTATTAATTTCAATACAAACTAATAGATCTGTGCCTGATTCTCACGTAAAAGATGTGTTTATGTATAAACATATGAAGAGATGTCTGGACTTTAGATACTGACTATTGTCCCATTATCTGTTTATTAATTTCAATACAAAGTAGTATGTCTGTGCTTAATTCGCGTACGAAACGATATGTTAATGTATAGACAATGAATTGATGAGGTGAAAGGCAATGTTCGGAGAGCTAGGTACGACAAGTACCCACGATACAAAAATAGACAATGAAAGTTGAAGTAAGAAGTGAATTAAGACCAAATTATATTTGTCTATCTATACATATTTACCTCCTGTACTGGACCGGTACGATTCCTGCTTTATAGTGAGCTATGTGCTGGAAAACAGGCTGAGAGAGATCGAAATGTCGCAGAGGAGGATTACACCAGCCTCCTGCATTGCCTGGAAGAGCATTGTTCGGAGGACAGAAATTTGTTGCTGTAACAGTGATCGACCCGGGCAGACACCATCTACCATCATTCACACATTTAATCTCAAAACAAGCTCCACAAGCAAGTCCATTCTTGAATAGAGCAGTGCTTAGTGCAGCTGTGTTTGTTCCATAACCTTGGCTATACAGATTCCCATACCCACAAGCTCCTCCTACATACCAAAGTTGAGCTTTTTTCAGAATTGAAATAGGATTTACGAAAATGAGAGAGGAAAATCACCATTAACAAATTTGTTTTTGGATGATTGAATCCTTACCCATTGTACCAGAAGCATCACCACCTCCATAGAAAGTAGCATGAGCACTAGACCATCCAGCTCCATAGCCATGAATGTTCCTCAACAAGGCTAGGAAGAAAACTAGACAAGTTCCAACTACAACATCCATTTTCCTGCAAACAAAAGTGAAGCAAAGGATTAGGATGGTATAAGAAATCTCTTTGAAACCCTCATGGGAAAATTTTAGTATATGTAGAACAAAGAGAAGGATCATATAGACCAATACTTACAAAGACTTGAAAGTCAATCTGAAAAACTTGGTTAAGGTAAGGAAGATATGGGGATATTACAACATATTTATAGACATATGCATAGTGGGAAGAAGGCAGAAGAGGAAGAAAAGATAAATAAACAATAATTGAATATGCTGATGATAGCAAGACGATGATAAATAAGTCTGCTGATGCTAGAAAGATTAGAAGTTATAAAATTTTCATCGGAAGAGAGAAGACGACAAGTGTCAATTAATCTGTTAAGCAACAAAAGGGATTTTATTATAGGTTGAACTAGCTTTGCTGTCACTAAGACAAAACCTTTTGTTTATGCTTTTTCTGGTGCATGCCAATCTGGTTTGTTTTTATTTTTCACCATCCTGTAAATATGGTAGGTTTTCAAAGTGTTGCTGAATTATATTCCTCCTGATATATTAGAATCATGTTACTTTTTCACTTTAGCTTAAATTTTTATTGCATTCATAAAATGAAGATAATTAGAGAGATCATTTGTCTCGAAGCATTAATAAAATGAAGATAATTAGCAGTTGGGAATCTTGTGAGAGTTTATTGTTCTTCGTTTTGTAGTGTTAACTACGTAATGCTCCGAATGAAACAACATTTACATAAAAAATTTAAGTTTAAATTACTTTATTAAAGTAATTAGAGTCTGTATGTCGAGTTCATCAATTCTATATCTTGATAGTTTAATACAAGTAATGTCATGAATTACTCTTTATAGTTTATTAATATTTTATGATGACGATTTGATTAAGTGTTAAAAGGAAAAAAGAAAATGCAAAAAGATAACACCGACAAATTCTTTGAAATCTTGAAAAAAATTTATCCGGAGAAGAGTAGATAGTGGCATTGAAAGGAAAAGCACATAAGAAAAAGGTCATTTTTACAAAGACCTTTTTCTGTGAGGTGGAGAGTTGAAATTGTGGAAGTGTATGTTGTCTTTTTATATAAGGTGTGTGTGTGTATATGTATATATATATGATATTCTGATGTTTACTTTTACTTTTTTATATTGATTACATAATTAACTACCTAAAGGATAATTAATTTACCCAATCATAAAAATCCAAGGTTGATATAATTAGTACAGCTTGCATGAAGTTGTATTTTTCTGCAACTTTTGAGAAATGAGAAAGAGGAATAAGATGCTTTCATCTTCAAAAATCTTCTGCTACAAGACATTCTACAGTTATGACATTTCAATTTGTATTTCAAGGATCTAACTTTCCAAGTTTTATAACATACACACACACACACACACACAATGTAAATGCAGTCTACATATAATGAATCATAAAGAAACGCTTCATCAGCAGAGTAAGATTTAATTCTCCATAAATTTGGTTCCATATAATGAACATATACATAGGATAAAAATCTGGGTCTTCCCCATTAAATCAAAACTCTTTAGCGCAATCCATACTCTAATCCAATTCTTTTTTTAATTGAAAATACATACAATTCATTAGTTAGAATATACATAAATATTAATTATAATACAATTTTCTAACGAGTACATAGAAAAATATACAGTTCGAGTTGAATGTACAATCTCTCGTTAGAGAAAAACGTCATTGGATTATTATATTTTTTTCGTTCTTTGCACTTAAATTATGTTCCTCCTAAAGGAAATCTGAAGGACATTTTTTTTACCTCGATCATATATATTTAAAATTTTACTCTCAAAATGCTACTTACATTGAAGTAAAAAATGGAACAAGATGATCATTGCAGGAAATACATTTCCTTGTCAACTGAACTAATGTCGTAAGTAATTTAGTATGAAGTTGTTTGTTTTCTTAATCCGAAGTAAACGAGTGACATTATATACAAATAGGCTTCGCATGAATGATTGATTTCAGATTTTGAGATTCAAATCCAAAATCTTTAAGCTGACAAGAAAAATGTAAGTAAAAATTTCTCAAAATCAGAAGAGGGATGAAGAGGCAATACAGAAAAGAACGTAGGTTTGCCTAGTCCCTACATGGAGAAAAAAGCCTTATGAGTAATCAAAGTGTTGTGCATGTGGCAGACCAGACGTATCATTACGAACATGAACAATATTAAACAATTCAATTCATCCTTTTCTTTTTTTTTTTTTTCTTTTTCTTTTTCTTGGGTCTAATTAGTTGTATCCAGTTGACAACCCACCTTTGATTCTTGCTGCTACGGATACAAAATCTGTAATCTTTACAGCTTAATCAATCATGAGTACGCGTACGTGTAGAAATTGAAGAAAGCTATCAACTTTCTGCAGCAAGATTCTCACAAACTGTCAGATATATTTACATACATATATATATATTTTTTTTATGTATCCAGACAAATGGGTATATGATATAGATCATCAAAAACAAGACAGTATTTGAAGTCATCCATCTGCCATTTTGCTTCAAGTCAGTGACTACAGCTTGTTTCTGCATGCATGCATAATTTGCTTAGATCAATTTCTGTTAAGAAAAGTTTCCTATGATTTTCATGTTATATATTTGAGAATGAATTATTTGATTAAAAGAAAAAAATCCACAGATAATGATTTCTCTATCTAACCCCATAATGGAGAAATGCTTTTGGCAGACACTGCCAAATGCTACAGTATTTGAATCTTCAATATCAAATGGTGAAGATATTGGGGTTTGGCCATCTGGTCTGATGCCTAAAATCTTCTTCTTTCTAATTTTTTTTAATCTGGTTGAGGGAAGAATAAAAGAAAAAAGAAAAAGAAAAAGAAAGAAAAGAACCATCCTGTAGAATCATGGCAATAACAGTTTTATATTTTACTCATCTTATAATTAACCTAATGCATGTTACTGTCTATCCATTGGGTAAACTGCTAATTGTCTGTATTGTATATGGATAAGTTTCTACCTAATCCCAGATTATTCTATCTAATCCCAGATTATTCTCTAATTTATTAGTATATTTTTTAAAATTTTTAAAGATTAGATAAGAAGAAGATAACAAACACCAAGAAATACAAGTTTAGGTTTTACTCCTCTGTCATCATGTGCCTGAGTATCATGTCCTTCCTCCAGGTGGCTACCCAGAACATGGAATTTCTTATTGCTCAAAAAGAATATGCATTTTTAAATATATATATATATATAGAGAAACATATAGTTCGGAGAATATTATAAAAGATAATATCCTAAATGAGATTTTTTTTAACCATTGATTATATAAAGAATCATTATTAGTTGAGTTTGATTTAAGTAGGGAAGTTATCCAGTTGTCTGATATTCCAAATGAAATTATAAAACTTGGATCAGACCGTTGGATACTTTTAACACTCCATTATCACATGGTGGGTGATAAAGGTGATTTAATATTTCAATATAATATTTATGATGGTAAAATAAAAAAAATGGTATATTATTATCTTATTATGTTCGATTGTTAGAGAACTGTTATCGCTATTTTAATTATTTAAAATTATGTAAATAAAATTATGTACTAAATAAGTTGATATTGGAAGAATGCGTCTTTAAAATTACTCCGAATTGATCCAAAAATAATTTTTGCGCTAAAAAACAACAATGAGGCTACAAAAACTCATTCACTGTATAATCTACACATGGAATCACATGTCCACTTGTTCAATCTTTTGAATATATGATGAAAGGTACAAGTCCTACAAGGGGTATGTAAGATATCTGTGTAATTAAGCAAATATTATATGCCCCCACCATTTTATCCAAAAAGACCAAAAGAGTTTAGATAAGTTGTCATCTACTCGATTCTAGGCCACATGAAGCTAGAGAATAGCAGAGTTGTAGAAAACCAGTAAGTGATTCAAATCATTGGGAGCCCCGACTAGAGGGAGTTCCTGTGCAAAACGTGAAAGATTATCAGCCATTCAGAATTGAATCCAGCATTTTCCAACTCTCAATTCATAAAAACAACCATGTGAATGCATGAGGCAGACTGGGTCACTCTCAGGATAGTGGCCCTGGCATCCACTGAGATAGGCTGATATGGTTCTGGCTGGTTTTGGATTATGATAGATATATATTTAATTATTTGGGTATCAAGCTTAATTCTGTACGTATATGCAGCAGGGTCACAGTAATAAAAAGAGAGAAAAACAAAAAAGATTCACTTGAAAGTCTTTCCCTGCTAAACAACTTAAAGAAAGTCGTTCCTGGAACTTTCACATATTTTGCCACATACCTAATTATAAGCTCAGGAAATTTCTCTATAATTTGGTGTAAGGATCCGAGTGCGACCAAGAGAAAATAACCAGGGTAACACTGGAATGGTGGGAGAACAGAAGGAGAAAAATGAAAAGGTTCACAAGGAATCCAAACCCTTAAGGGTTTACTGTTTTAAAAAATAGGGATATGCAGCATGCGTCTGGAGAATCCTGGGAAGGGAGACATGGACAGCAATCTGCAGGGGTAGTTAAGTGGCATGTTTAGGGTTTAGGAGTGAACAGAATGATGGATGGCTTTCCGGGTTTCCAGGACTGGGTAGCTCTCGGGTTTTCCGGGAAGGATACATTCAGAGTACTTTTCAGGCATTTTCTTGTATATAATCTCATGTTTTTGAAGAGGTAGGCATGGAATGAATTATTTGAAATATAGTTTCATAATCTCCCTGAGATTTTCTCTCTCTCTCTCTCACTCATTTTCTCTCTTTCTCTCAGTTTTTCTCTCTCTCCCCCTTGTTTCTTCTGTCCCTCTCTATTTTTCTCTCTTTATCTAAAACCTGCAATACATACCTCCAGATAGGAACCATGTTCCCGGATCCTGACATTTAGCAATGGCCCCTTCCAACCTTTTGTTCCAGAAGAGGTGAAATATGAATATAAACCTTATGAACCATCCATATGTATACTCTTTTGGAGCAGAGCCTTACCTTTTCAAGGCACCAACAGTATGCTCTAAAAGCAAAAGCACAAACATTGGAGTGTAGATTCTGCAATGAGCAAAGTTAGACCATTTTCTTGGAGACAAGCTGCAGAACTTCTGAGGCACATGACGCAAAGGTAGTTGATCCCCTATGAGTGCTGTTGATTTGAAGTACCTGGTTGAGGAATCATGTAAAAGTCCATCGATTTGATGTGAAATATAACCTGGAATGAAAATTCAAAACTTCTGAAAGCAGATTATACTGATCAACCATGCCATTATACAGAGAAAGGTCCTCGTTTACATCTGCCTCCCTAAAAAGAGGACCCATTTAAAAAAAGTGAAGAAAAGGAGCAGACGCACAAAACATTTATAATCTATTTGCAAATGAATTACAAATAAGGCGTTACTGGATGGATAATCTGCCTCGAACTCGTTCTCTGCTAGAAGACGATGATCCAATCCTCTGCAACACCTTTGCACCGAAGATATCTTTGCTCGCTTTTCCATTAAAGTTGAAATGCCTTTTAAGACGATTCCTTAAGGAAGAACCACCATTGCTCCAGCGAGGTACTACCCCTGCCCAGCTTCTCTTTACTGTGTCAATCTGATGTGGGTTTTCACTGTTACAATTGCGCTGATTTCCCAGCGGCTCAGATATGGCAACCCCTCTGCCTCTTCGGATAGATCTTAAGGCCATCTGCAATGGTTCGGATACAGATGAGGATTCTTCCATTGCTCCAATTGTTTTCAAGCACAAGGGGCAAGGAGGATCATGAATCTGGATTTTAGGGGTTACTTGCTCCAAGCATTCAGCATGAAATACATGGCTGCAATGTAGAATGCCAGCAGTTGGCATATCGCCACCTCTCATTATCCGATGTGAACTCCAAGGGGACTTCTGCCACAGAAGTTTTCCACAAACACCACACTTTTGGTCTGTTACAGGGCCAATAGGAGACCTCAGGCTCTCCCCATCAATATGATCTACAATATCAAATTTTTCTCCATCAAAACCTAGATCATAACTGCTAGCGCTGCTCCACCTGAAACCCTCTCTTCTAGAGCTTGTACTGGGGTTCGGTGATGCTTCCAACCTTTGAAGTTCTGTGAGGGTTTTGTGAAACTTGTGCTCCACACTTGAACTGTTATCAGGCCAGTCGGATGGTGAGAATTGACCCTGGTGATCTTCGCTGGGTGTCAACCTGCCAATACTGCCAATATCTGCATCACCAAATGTATCACAATCTGACACAGGATTGCGAAACACTAGTGGGTAAACAGGTTTCGACATGTAAGATCGCCGACCAGGGAAGTTGCGGTTAGGGAGAGAGAAAGGATGCTTGCTAGTTGATTCCCATTGGCTGGACTCAGAAAGTGAAGAAGGAGATCCAAAACTAGGGGATGCTGCAGCTGCTCTGAAAGCATACCGCCTCTGAAACAAGAATATAAAAACCTAAATGCTAAATAATAAATATTTTGTCAGGGCTCTCAATCAAAAAGTTATAAACAAAAATCACCTCTGTTGTGTGAGGAAACCAAGAGCTTCGGGACCTAGACCCTGATAAATGAGTGCATATTAATAAACCAAACTGCAAGAAGATTATAAAAATGGTGTACACAAGAAACTATGATTATTATTTAACAAAATATTCATTTCTTTAAAGGGGGAGAGATGAAGGCTATCAATTCTATTTACAAACAGCTTCGTTTCCGGGTATCAATTTTATTTATTGAAACATAAAACATACTGTGTTTTTTAGAAACTAGAAAGGTAGTACTAACAACAGTGTACTTTTAGTCCTATTAAATGGTACCATCATCCATTTTATACACATGAGATGCAAATAAGTTTTGTACCATGCTGTGCACCAAGAATATTGGGAGGAAGAACTGTTGGGATAGAACCAAGTCACAGATTTGCTTCCAAATTCTACAATGTTTACAAGAGTAACATATTTGCTGAGTAGATTTTCATCTTTTCTCTGATAAATGCGGAATAGACACACACGAGTACATGTCTGGTGAGTTAGTCAACAACCAATGGTGAAGAAATGATATGAACACCTAAAACCCATGACCTAGATCAAATTATCCAAACATAACCAACATCTCAATCATAGAAAACATGATCAATATCTTGCTGCATTTAACATCTGAGAGCCAGTATACCTCTGAATGTTAGAGTATTTTCAATTACGAGAAGGCTTTTTTTTTCAGAAACTTTAAAGATCTAAGCAGGATTCAATTAATAAAAATAGAGCCAAAAACAAACAGATTTTAAGTATAAATTTGAATGACTATTTCAGTTTCTACTTATTCACATGCCCCTGGCAATAATTAGCTATAAGCTACGCACAAAGCGCCCATTGTACCAAAACATGAACAAGGTTTTCACTGCAATATTAAGACCTTCAGCCCATTGTACCAAAAGGCTTTGAAATAGGACCTTCAATCAAGCCTATCCTATCGATCAAATCGTCCAGCTGAAAAAATAACAATAAAGAAAAGGATAGAAATGGTTGGTTGCAGCTTACACTATTGGACAATTAGTTAAACAAAACAGAATGCATGTCTTAATTTGAAAGTTGAAAACATAATACTTTAACTAGGGTGTACATATATTAAATGCATGTCACGTTACAGACTCTTAGTCCAATTCTAACGTAAAAGAACACTATCCATGAAAACATCTTCGTGGACTGCCAATAGCAAGATGAAAAACAAAAAGGACACAGATAGGGTTTATGCATTTCTCCAATGCCACCTAACAATAGCATGCAAAAAAAATAGGAACCTAGTATTATTGTATCAAAGCAATCAAAAAGTAATCAAGTTAGACCCCTTAAAAACATGTATAGTTTGGCTCACATTAGGAAAGCACTTTTGTCCATTTTGTTTGGAGCCTACATATGGATAGAACAGATAAACCACAAAATTGAAAGCAGATTAACATGGTAATTTAGAAGCAGGATACTTTGTGCAGCTAGTCTGTGTCTTAATTAAAATGAAAAAGAAAAATTATCACATGAATATAAAGCAGAGTATCAAAAAAAAGCTTTAAGAAAAATTAAACCATGAAATCTGCCTGTAAAAAACCTAAACAATCAATAAAAGAAAAACTCATGAACTATCCATCACATTGAAAATTGACATAATCTTATAGATTTCATGGTATATAAATATTATGTCTCATCAATGGAACCGTGCCATATAGTTGAATGGTCTGTATGGTCAGCTACTACTAGTTCCGGTCAGGAAACTACTGAGAGAAGAAAACTAGGGTGCTGTACAGTAATGAAACAAATATTAGCACCATATCACTGACAAAATAATAGGAAAAAACACATGATAATAGACAAGTAAGACCACTAAAAAGTAAAAAGAAATAATATTTAAGAAAATAAGAGCAAGCATTGACTAAATATAAGAAATAGGTATCAACTCAAGGTTACCTCCCACTGTGGATGCAGCAAGCTCGCCCATATTGAATTTGGGCACTGGTGAAGTCCACCGAGGCACCTGAACATTTTCAGGCGGGCTTTCAGAGTAAGAGAGAACTCCATCAGACACAGAATGGTGATGGTTTGAGTATCGTTCACTACCCACCCTGCTTCTGCTTCCTCTACTATTTGAGGATAGTGATAATCCATGCAAAGGAACTCCATTTCCCCCATTTGGTATAGCATCTGCTTGTAACCGACAATTCCATATCCTCGGCGGAGGAGGTGAATAACTAGAATTTATTCGCCAATGTGGCTCATTATGATCCAGAGCTTCCCTTCCATCAGTTGGCGATTTTGCCCCTTGTGGCCCAGCGGCCACACAACAAAGTGCACCCGTGTTAGCTATTTTCTATTGGGACCAAAAAGTTATCTTGTACCCAGTGAATGATTTTCTGAAGAATGAAGTTTCACATGCTACCTCATACACCAAGTTTCCAAATGAAAATACTCACACTGAAAAGTCGTAGCCAGAAATTATAAATGACTACAACAAGTTATATTGAAGCTAACAAGTGTCTGCCGGCACGAACCCGGTTGGAACATTTCAAATTCCCATCAAGCATTCTCCCCATCTAAAGAGATAGTTAAGTTTCGGGTAGAACTGCTGCTTTTGAAATCCGATTAAAGCAAGCATCCAGCTTTCACACTGGACATACACATTGAACAAATTTAACAAGTAAGCCAACTGAATCTGAAAATAGTTAAGTACCACATTTTTCAGCTAATAACAACAGTGGATTCTAAAATTACGTGTGAACCACAAAGTGAGTCCTGATTAACATACATGATAAAAGGATATGCCCAAAAAAAAAAAAAAAAAGAGCGCGTAAACAAGCAACTACAGAGTTTCATAACAGTTGGATACAACATTTTTAAGATTAATTTAAATTGACTACTCTTATTATAAATTTGTCTCACATCTAGTAAATTTGTCACTCTCCTATCCATTTTTTAGGACTGCAATTTTTCATTGTCATTTTCACCAGTAAATGGAGCAGACCAACACGCTCTTTCCACTTAAATTTTCACTATTCCAAGACAAAGTTTCTAAAGATGGCAGAAGTCGAAACCATGCAACTATAACTAACTCTAAGATTTAGATAAAGTCCATAACTCTGTAGACAAATGACTTTTAATCTACATCGTTAGCATCCAAGAAAGAACAGGCAAAATCATTATCTAAATACACCACCAAGCAAACACCCAAAAGCACAATCATACGCTCAATGCATTAAAGCCTCTAAATACAATATCTACACCTCATAACATCAATAAACCATCAAAAGAGATCCTCAAAAAACAAACAAGTTAGAAAATTTTTATACAAAAAAAAAACCCAATAAAACCAACAAATTCAAGTGAACCCAGATGAAACCAAACTCAAACTAAAAACACGATTAGGCATCATTAACCGAATCAAATGAGTAAACCAAACCCAGAACATCAAATAAACCAAATTACAGTGCAAAAAAAAAAAGAAAAGAAAGAAAGACACTTGAAGAACATGAAACATGATGAAGAGGGAAGGAGAGAGAGAGGAGAAAGTACCTTTGAGAGAAAAACTATGATCTGGGTAATGACGAAATCTGGCGTTGAAGAGAAAAAGAAACCCTAAGTTTTGGGCTTTTTGATGATGAAGGGCGAATTTGGTCATAAATACCATATGAAAGGGCTAGTGGGTGTATAGTGGGTGATGAGTATATTCTGTTTTGTGGAGAAAATGAGACAAAAGTAGTAGTAAAAAGGGGAAAAAAGAAAAAGGGCAGAGGAGATTGACAGGGATGGTGATGGACATCACATTTTTTTTTTTATCTTTTTTTTAGAGAAACACAGAGGATGAAGACATTATTTAATGTTAGATTGTGAATTTGCAGTGGCATTTCTGTAACGGCACTATATTGATAGATAGATAGATAGATGCAAAGCCTTTTCAGACACGTCTGTGTATACGTACATACAAGTGTCTGTTGATACATATATATATATATATGTACATACACAAATATATATATATGTATGTAATAATTTGGAACTTTCCATTGATAAACAAACCAAGGCATAATCATGCCTTCCTCGCACATGTCCTCCTTTTTCTTTTTTTAAGGGTTTGGCACTTTCATCTTTTTTTTCTGTAATAAATATTTGTACTTTCTTCAAATAAAAATACTAACAATTTAATTAAAAATAACTTATAACATAATGCAGTTTAATTTTTTTTAAAGTATCACATTATTATTTAGAATAAATACTTTTAATTTTGATAGTTCAGTTTTTATTCAAGTAAATGAAAAAGTTAGCAAAGCTATACATCAAACTTGAATATTTTATGCACATATATATATAAATAATATTTACAAACCTACTTAGTCTTTATATACATATATATAATAATGTCTATAATACATCTAAGCTACTTAGTTACATAGTGATGATATAAAAATATACAATTCAATGTATAAAATTAATAACATTCAATCTTATATTATGTATGTATAGAATGAGATATTATCCACCTCATTTACCATACATCTTTATTAAAACTGCAAATAAAAATTGGATGAATATTTATAGTTATATTTATTTATATTGAATTGCAAATATATAATTTATATATTAGTTTAATTCTGAAAATTAAGTTTTCGTTTAGTGGATGAAAATAATTAAAATTACACTATGATATTTTCTTGTAACATTATGTATAATTTAATTATTACAATCAATTTAAATTGACTTCACGAGAAAATCAATATACATATATGTATATGTGTAACATGAATACTTCATCTCAACCAATTATTAAAAAAAAATAATATTATTGATTTGTATGATAAAATTGAATGAAATTATACGTGTAAAATTAGTTAACACACTCAAATAACTTTCAACTAAAGTTTTAGTACATCTAAACCATCAAGCTTTACATTTTAACTTCGAGTAAATATCTCGAATAAGCCAGCGTGCCATATGAAGGTATGTTTTCTGCGTCGAGTGAACTCCATCCCAACTAAGATATGCATAAGGATTAGAACAAACTGGTACTCCAGAAGCTCCACACATTTTGGTGAGATTGAAATTATAATCACCTCCGGTACCACAACAAGCTTTTTGTATAGATTTTATGTCAAATCCTATTTAAATTATAGAAAAAAAAAGGAAGTTAACAAAACTATTATATCTAAGTTAGGTAGTTATGTAATAATAATTAAGAAAGAAAACAAAATACTTACCCAAAGATGAAGCATGACCCAAAACCCACATGTATGCATTGTAATAATCTCCGTAGATTATGGTAGTGTTCGAGTTTTCTTTCTTTAACTCTTCAATGGCTCGTTGGAGTTGTTCGTTATGGTACGTCGAAAGGTTATTCAGATCTTTTAGACAATGGAAGTTATCGTAAGCAGATGTTTCATTTGTTTGAAATCCTGTGAGATAGATCGGTAAGCAGCCTATCGGAAAATTTCCAGGAACAACAATTTGAGTAGCACCATAACCTATTACTCTCTGCAAAAAAAAAAAAAAAAAAATAGTCATTTAAATAATTCTATAACAATTAGTAAATTAACCATCAAATGTTTATTTTATAAAACTAACCTTAGCTGCATCTTTTATGGCTTGTACAACTTGAGGAACCATCTTCTTCACTTCATCTGTGGTTTTACCTTGAAATAATGCATAGTTGTAATCATTCCCACCAATTTCACCGACCATAAACAGAGAATTGTGAAGCCGATTCATACAATCTGTAAAGTAATAAAAAATTAGTATGCTGATTACAATAATATTAAAATATAATTAAGGTGTTCTTAATGGTACTTGAAGTAAGATGCAAATCACCTTCTGTATTGTAACATGTTTCGTTGAAATGAGTTGACATCCAGTTAAGTTGTCTGGTTAAAGAACTATTTGTAACTGGAGAAAATACGTTTTGAGCTGCGAGAGTTTCGACAGGTAAAGCAGTGGATCCAGCAACTGCGAAATTTACTCCGTAATCGTGAGTGAATGAAACATTCTTGTTCAAATAAGGTCCAAGTAGAGGAATGCCCGCTGAGAGAGCTGTAAGAATATATGATTAAATATATAAATTAGTAACGTTTAATCTGTATTATTGACGCATAAAAAGTTATATGTATACAGATACGATTATATATATATATATATGTGTATCTATGATAATGGAAAAGCAGCTATAAACATTATAAAGAATATATATATATATATATATATATATTATAGTTACTTACCAATATAGTCGATCATTAGCAATCCATTTGAGCATCTGCCGGTTGCGTTCTTGAAAAATGTTTCGCCATAAGGGAGCTGCGAAAATGAAGTAAAAGGATTTTCGCGAATTAAA